AATTTTATTCTCAAGTGTGTTGCAATTAAACTCCAAGTAAGCACACAAGTACTCCAATAAATTTTGATGGCCTATTAATGTTGCCTCCTCTTTTTCCTATTAATTTTGATGACCTTGACCTTGGTCTATTATGATGCTGTTATTTTTCATCTTCTCCTTACTTTCTTTCACTCTCTTTAGGGTAGTTGTTGCACAAAATTGGAACAAATGTATAACCTTCTTTAGAGATAGAGCACATTTGATATTTACTCAAACATATTTCTTTCAAGAAATAATAAAAAATGCATCTTTAGTTTTAGGTCTGAGAGAAATATTGGCTAAAACTGCAACAAAGACATTGCAACTCTGCGATAGTTTTTTAAGGTTGCAGGAATTATAATAGCCTTGGAAGCAAGATACAAGAACCCGGGTTTCCTTTTTCCAGCATTATTTCAAACAAAACATTGTGGACTAGAAAATTAATCCTGAGTGCTCCAATATACAATTCATTTATCCAATCACTTCAAATCATTTTTTAAAACGATTTCTAGTTTCTTCTTTTTTTCGGAGCTAAGATTTCCAGTTTCACTGCTGCCGGAATAATTTTTTTTAAAAAATAGAGATTGTTGAAAATCATTCTAGCAGCTATTGAACTCGTTCGTTTTATTAAGTTGCTCTAAAAAGTAGATACAGAAAGAAATAAAGAAAAACCTTAGAATGAATAACCAGATGCATACCGCTTCAATCCCAAATTTATCTGGTGTATCGGTGAGAACTGTTTCATTTTCCTCTACACAAATTATGAGGGGCTGAGAAAGCCAAAAGAGGAGGAAGAGGAGAATGTTTCAGTCCGAAACAATAAATTTTAGGATTCGCCTACAGTTGGAAATTTAGAAGAGATAACACTAGGATATTCATGCCTTTGAATGTGTACCTTGTTTATTTTGCTTCTTGCAAATGCAACAGCACCATCTCCTCCACAGGCATTGATAGGAAGAATCACACTATCAACATCACTCGATGTTATGCAACCATTATCTTTGGTTTCGGAGTTCTTAACCGAGTATCGTGGTGCTTTACTTAGCCCCGCAAGTACACAAGGCAGAAACGTGTATCCTATCTACTAAATGATAAAATATATGTATATATATATATTGAAAAACGAGAGAGAAATATTAACAATAAAACCAACCAACATGACAGTTAAATTCTGTGAGCTTGCTCATTCCAACAGAAGGAGATGAATTAAATTACTTATTTCTCCAAGGTAAATCCAAACTATGCATATATGTGCTTTTAAATTCACATTAATTCATAGCAAACCTATGTCTTTTTGGAAAAACCTAAAATCTTCATCTAGACATTTAAAAAATAGTTATATTGAGCTGCAGAAATAAGCATTTGAACACAAGAGGGCAACAGAATTTTCATATCCTTTTCTAGGTCAAAAGTTCACATACCTCCTCAGCAGCAGATTTTGGGCTAAGGGCTTTAGTCAAGGGAAAGGACGCTAAAGCAGGAGCATGGGCACAAGGGATCTGAAACTCCTTCACCACTAGATGACTTATAACAGCCTCTACCCCTGCCAATATATCTATTCCCTGCAGGTAGAATGAAAGGAAGAATTCATAACCACTTCAAGGAATAAAATGGTAAAACAAGGTTTTAACGCTAATCTACATGCATATGCTTTACATCACAGTAAGAAGAAAACAAAGAGCAACCAGGTAGTTTGAAGACTCATAAAAAAATCATGCACATTAGCATCACACAACTGCAACTTAATGAGTAATATAGCCATGGACATGGTGTTCTGAATGTAAAATTATTTAAACTTTGGCAAGTTTGAGTAAATAACTTAAGAAATACCATAACCATAGACAATATATTGTGAAAATAAAATAATTCACAAATAACATGGCCATGGACAAGATACTCTAACAGTAGACAGAGCACAATTGTCATTGATGTACTGCAAAGAAAAATGTTTTGGCAAGAACTTTACAATGTTAATACTATACTCTAACTTTCTATTTATTCTTTCTGATTATTATGTCTTTATCTTTGCAAACAGATCAAATCATACATTTATTTTTCTCGTATCCAATCGGAATAGAATATGTAATATCATAATAATAGTAGAACCTCCCTTTTAGTGTATTATTACGGAGAAAGGATTAATACTTGTTCTATTTCTTTAGTAATAATGGAACAATTCGGTTGATAGAAAAAAAGAGAAGCAGATCTATTCTATATCCGATAAGTACCAATATGCAATGGAGATTAACCCTATTTTTTTTATAAACGAACGTATCTATATTTGGTTCGTCATTCAAAGGACCTATTTGTAAAAATTTTTCTTTATTTTTATTCATTGTCTTTCTTTACCTTTATTTATTTTATTTTCTATCTAATGACCTTATTCAATATATGTATAAAATGCTGTAAGAAAGAACATATAAAGCTATGGTGCCAAGAGGTCGAAAAAAATAATTAGCTTACCCTCCCTTGTCGATAATCATCAAGGTCATCAACATCGTCATCTGGAAATCGTGCAACAACTGCAACAGCATCCACATGTGCCCGGTGAATTAAAGTTCGCACAGCTTGGAGCAGTGAACCAGGGTGCTTAATTCTCCCAGTTGATTTCCCAGTTCTGGCATCAACCCACTTTTCCACCTGCAGAAGCTGTTTCAGTTCCAGATGCTTGCAATCACATTGAAAGAAATTCAATTTTTTTCCCAGATAATGCCAGATTCATATAGAGCCCTAAGACAGAGAATTGGGCCCAGCTTTCTGGCAAGAGCAAGTGGATTATAACTGACATGTAGAAGTATTCCATTTGCAGAACAACATAATTTACAAACAAAATTGGGTTGAAATCAGTACAATGCCCAGAAAACATGCACATCCTTATCATCTTCCGTAGCAGTTTTCCTTTTCTCAATAGCCTTGCTACAGAAAATACTATCTCCAAATCCTTAAGCCCGAAACTACCATGCAGAATACATCATAGACATAAAAGTATTCATCAATCTTCATGAATGAAACTATCCTGGCATAGCACTGTTACTAAAAAGGTTAAGCCATCCAAGTTATTCATCAATCTTCAAATAGTTTCATTATTTTGAAAGAAGCAGCAACCATTAACTTCATAATTTCCCATTTCTTTTCTGGTGACAGAGTATCTTTCCTCTTAACTTAACATATAGGATACCTCCAAAGGGATGTCAGTGACAATATATTCCACAAGAGGCAATCCAAGAGAAGCCCTGGTAGCATCAGCGGCTTGCAAATGGCGAATTCGAAGCTCTTCCTCTATTCCAGCATCAAGGACCAGTCCCACCTGCTCACACACCAAAATAATATGGACACACAACATAGGCAGCAAGTTCAGAATTTAACCCAAGAACAAATGGTTTGTTTAAAAAATGATGGACTAGTTATCTCAAAGCAAAATAAATGACACTTGCATCAGACCTTATTTTGATGAACAGGCTGAAGAGCCCATAACCCTTCTGCAAATCGGTCAAGAGCATGACCTTCAACGTATAGTACATTGGGCATAGGCCAATACAGCATCGCTGCATTAAGCACCTGAGAGAGTAATAAGTTTACTGAAGACAAAAATACAGTATACGCTTAAGCATGGATTCAATAAGTTCTTCAATTTAAAACTAATAAACAGGGCGTACTTCAATCTTTTCCTAAATTATAACTTATTAAGAGACCAAAACATGACCCAAAAATCTAGCATATAAAGATTAAATGCGACAACAGGTTTCTACCTTATTCCTCTTTAACATCTACACCATTCAGTTCGGTGTTCAGTAAACTTCAAAAACATATGCACAAGAGGCTTAAAATATTACCAATTAGTTGCAATTTACAATTACCATTCCCTACACTTGTCTATCCAACTAATATCGAACACTACCAGGAGAGCGCAGAAGAAGACAGAAGCATACATTGGGGTGTGTGATGAGGCAATCAACGACAGAGGATACGGAGCGAGCAACAGGCAAAGCATCCCCGGCGAATCCACCGATTGCGGCGCCCACGCCCGTCGGGACTATCATCACGCTCGTGTACTCCCGCTTCCACTGAATCCCAGCCCGTGACAACGAAAACACATACAGAGTAACATAAAACAAGCCGCCAAATAGTTTTAGCTACGGAAAACACATGAACGGACTTCTCAGTTGCAGATAGAAGCGAATTAACACTGACCTTGTAAGAATGCTGGGAAGCGTAACAAGCGATTCTAGCACGAGTGGACGGTCGTGATTTTTTGACGAAGGGTTTGGAAGGGATCCACGATGAGCATGGACGGATAAGATGAAGTGCCGCCATTTTTGGCGGAACTTTTTTGGGCAAACAAGCGAGTTCCGAGGATAAAATCCTCTATGTTTCCCACCAAAAAATTTCCCTCCCTCTCTCCGCCAGTTAGACTGTTTTATAATTAACAGTGCTCGTCAGGTTTTTAAAACAAACGCCTCTCTGCAACCCAGTTATTCAGATTTTGATTTTCTCTAATGCAAAACTAATATATATCATGTTTTCTTAAAACAAATTTATGTAAAAGTTTTTAAAATAATTAAAAAATTTGTATTATAATTAGGTTTTAGTGAAACTTTCATTGACAGTTGATTTTTATGTCATTAGCACAAATATCAACAATGGTGGCAAAGGCAACTAGGAATTGACAAATTAAATCTAATACACAAATTAAGATTAGAAATTGATTATAAATTACATAATAAAAGAATCAAAAGTGAAATAATTCATAATATTTGATTTATTCAATAATTTATTTAACTGTAATACAAAAAGTTATTCGATACGCAAACATAAACATAAATATTTACATAATAAATTTCAAAGGTCTCATCATCATGTTGTCTTCATGATCCAATATCTGCAAAAAAAAAATGCGAACAACTGACTCAAAATCAAGACTAAACAACACCAATTTAACTCCACAAGAGATCATAAACTTACATGGCAATGATATACATATCCAGGCTCTTCTGTTGCATCGAAGGAGTATGATGTATTTGCATGTATATAACTAAATCTCACTATAATCTTTGTCACATATCCAGGCGCCATCTTGTATACGTTCTTCCACCCATTCTCGTGCTGCAACACATGTAGCTTCTTCCCACGTGCATATTTATTTACTTGGCATTTGATGGCATCGTTCTTTTTTAACATACATTCTTTGAACTCCTCCGAATGTACCAGCTCTGTTTGATCCAACACCATAAATACTCCTAAATGAATATGCAGTGGATGATTGTCTTCTGTTAGGTTGATCACATTCCATATCTCGCTAGTCCCCACTCTAGGAATTTCAGTCACTGGTTCGTCGTATGTTTTGCCATTGATATAAAGATGGGTGGGTTCACCCGTATCACTTGTATACTCATACATAGCAATGTATCGTATGCGTGATGCACTGGATAAATCTGGCGATGGGTATTTAATTAATTCTTTAGGTACCTGTGCCGCATCCTTTTCTCTTTTCTTTTCTATGATAAACTTCATAATCATACTATTAGCTTCATTCACCGGATCACCAGATGGGAAAGGATACGGTGCATTATTACCAAGAATAGCAGTATCTGTTCTTGACTTTGAAAAGTCAATAACTACATCAGCAATTTCTGACGGGGCAAGAAGAGTTTCATTACTCAGGACTGGTTTTTTGATATAAGCCGAGTCAGATCCCACGTGAATGAATCTCAAACCATTGTTGAAGAAAAATCTAAAGAATCTAGCATTGCTGGCATTAATAATACGAAATCTATACTTACGACGTCGTACAGTCACATGCGGCCATGCTTTTCCATTTACGATAATCGCATCACCAAAATATTCCGGCTGCCACTGCGGGTGTACTGAGGGATTATTACCGGTAGAATTCATATATATAGAACCGTCAACACGAAAGCTACGATCAAACACGATCAATGGTTGATCAAAAGCATGACCACGAGGGAGTCCAAGTGGGTCCTCGACATGCGGATGGCGGATTATGTAGGCTCCGATCAAGCCAGCCAATAAGTTGACCCTAGTCAAACCAATGGCATGATCATGATACCAAAGGTTTCCCGGCTGTTGCACGTTGCTGTAGTGATATCTTTTCTTGGTCCACTTAGGTCCTGTTTCTTTAAATCCAGCGGTGAACCAAGAGTTGGAGTTTCCATCACTTGCAGGCTCATGGATGCCACCATGGAGGTGCACCACCGTAGGAACGCCCTTCTTGGCCGTGGTGATAGCGTTGGGAATAGTTGGATCCCAAGGCAAGATATGCTTTGAAGGGAGGTGATTTCGCCACGTCACGTAGGTGTGAACTCCATGAAGGGCCTCGATGGTTGGACCAGGAACAGTGGCGGTATCCCTTGATGTACCATATGCGAAGACTGGCGTTGCAGGGAGGTCTGTGTGGAACTTCTGAAAATAAAAAAAAGTGAATCACAGCCATCGATTTCCACTAGGTCCACCACCATTTCCCATTTGCGCCCCACCTCTATTCTAGAGAGAGACGGCCTTCACGAGAACTTTACGTTAAAAGACAATTT